TCCACTAACGCCAGAGCGTCTATAGGGGTTTACACTTAAGCGGCGAGGAGCTGTGTGTACAAAGAGATAGTGCTGTGATAAGCTCCGCGGGTGGCCGTAGTGCAATTTAATAGGCACTAGCTGACTGTTTAATTGGATTAAAGATAAGCGATAAAGTCGATGTTACTCCTTCTGTTCTATTTTCTCTATGATTACACACACACACAAAAAGGCCTAGTATACAACCCATAAGTACCCAGTCTAATCACCTATATAATTCATCAACATAGCAAAGAATTCATTTATAGAGTACTTCATACATAAAATAGTAATAACATTTCTTAAACGTACCTTTATCTGAAAAACGGTAGCTACAGTAGATTTTCAAATGGACACGGCTGCTAGTTTTCGGTACGTCTTGTCTTTGTTCTTGCCAAAACAAGAGTAGAAAAGGAAAGAAGCGTCCTAAGAAGGGACGCTAAGTCCGTGTCACATACAAACAACATAGACATCTACATCCGCAGAATGTCTTAAACCATATCATTATGTTATGATGATATCATTAATAACTTAAAATACTATTTACAATGTAGTGATAAACAATATCCAGTATCCTGTGCTATATAAAACAAGTTAACTTTAATGATGAACTTTGTACTACTTTATTGTGTATAAATCAGGTACTTAGGACTAATTAGTAATTAGTCTTAGGGCGAAACTATTATTGTCTTAGGGTTATTATCGTTAATTAAATCAATGCATGAATATGGTGAAAGAAATCAGTCTACAGTATTACATACTCCCCAGGTTTATCCGTTGTCGTCCTCGACAACAACAAAAAAAAAATACATATATAAACTCCAAGTTATTGATTTCCAAAGCGCTCAGCTAACATCTGTGCGAAAAGCAATTGTGACTTTCCAAAGTCCGCTAGAATTGTATTGTCGAATCCAATATGACTGCTACTACAATTAACTTGCCCAGCTTCTTTGGCTTTAATCCTGGATGAACGTCGTAAAGGAACGTCCTCTTGCCCTGCTTGTTGCTGTTGCTTTGTATGACACTGAACATCATTAGAACTACGACTATGTTCAACACTATTATAATTACAATGTCTTGTAGTTGAGCTTGGATCGTCAAAATTTCTTATATCTCTAATGAGTTGCTCTTCATGACTCTCGGCTCCGCTAGAATGTGCATTCTCTTTTGGGTCAATAGAATCAGAAATATTGGGATGAGCATCACCAACTATACCTTCATTGTTATCAGGATGAACACACTCCGAAACAACACTTGAACGATCATCATCAACTATATTTTCAACAATAGGTGTAGGCTCTAATTCCTGCTGTCCCCCTTCATCACTTGGTGAGTAGAGTATCACCTCATATGGTCCATCAAGATCTTTGGAATTCCGTTCACTGCTTGAAGCTTGATCCTCATCATGCATTTTTGGATGATAATTGCTTGTAGGTAACACAGACTCTGTGTTAGATTTCTCTACCTGAGTAATGGGGTCGGGTTCACTAACTTCAAGTTCCCCTGAGTCTAATATCTCCGTCCTATGGACAGTTCTAGTGTTCCCACTTCCAGTTAACGGTTTTACTGTATATACATTTCCACTGGGATCAGGGCGCTTAATTACGACGTATGGGTTAGGCGACCAATAGTCTTGTATCTTGTTTCGCCCAAGTTGGTGGTTTCGGATGAAGACACGTGCACCAATCTGGAGGTCTGCTTCTGTTGCCGTGCGATTATTCCTTTCCCTTCTGGCTAGTGCATGTTTCTCAGTCTCCGTTGAAGCACTTCGAAATGCTTTGTGCAGGCGATTATGGTGCTCCGCTACCCATTCTTCTATATTTCTGCCTTCGCCTTCTTCTATTCCATTCCCTAGAATGTGATCAATTGGCAACTTGGGTTCACGCCCATAGAACAAATAGTAGGGGGAATACCCGGTAGAAGAATGTGGTGTGGCATTGTAAGCGAATACAAGTTCCGGAAGATAGTCAGGCCAATTCCTTTTCACCTCGGGAGAAAGCATATGGAGACGATCGTGCATAGTGCGGTTGAATCGTTCGCACTGGCCATTTCCTTGCGGGTGATACGGAGTAGTCCGGGATTTAGTAATGTTATAGATGTTACAAAGTTCTTGTATGACATGACTTTCAAAGTTGCGTCCTTGGTCGCTGTGCAAATGATGAGGGACACCAAACCTAACAAACCATTCTCGGACTAATACTTTTGCAACAGTTGATGCCCTCTGGTCCCGAGTAGGGATAGCCTGTGTGTACTTGGTGAACACATCGGTCATCACCAGTACGTTTTCCAAGTTATTCATTCCTGGTTCGAGTACAGTGAAATCTATTGCAAGGACTTCCATTAATGGCTTGACTTTCCTTCCTGCTTTTGCAAGGGTACAACGTGGACAGTTGTCGCAGTACTTCTGAATGTCATCTGCCATTCCCGGCCAGTAACAACGTTTACGTGTTATTTCGAGTGTTTTCTGAAATGCTTGATGACCAAGTTCATCGTGAACAGTCTGTAAAATTTTGTCTTTAAGAGACTCGGGTAATAGAAGTTGCTTGACATTCTCTCCCTTCTCTACTATGTTTCTGTATAAGACTCCTTGTGTTTCAGACAGCCTATTCCAATCCCTAAGAAGCTTTCTAACAATCTTGGATTCTTTAAATAGCTGACGGTGTGGTGGGGACTTTCCATCTTTCCAGTACTGAAATAGTCTGCCTATGTTGCAGTCTGCGTGTTGAAGCTTAGCTATGTCTACTGTTGGGATTGCTGGGATAGTCAACGATGCTGTCTGTCCAACTCCATCGTTTTCGGAGATCAGCTCCTGGTTGAAAATTATTTCTTCTATCCTAGGACCTGTCTCTTATACACATCTAGATGTGTATAAGAGACAGGCTTTCTATTTTCGTCTGAACTAAATTTTATTAACCGGCAACAACCGGAACATTTTACAAATATACTTAATGCTTCT